TGTAATGATATTATTTTCAATTGATCTTCTCAATATTCAAATTCACTCCAACATCTTCGCTTGATCGGTGAAGCCTTTATTATTATTATTATTATTTATTGGGTAACTGTTCAATGAAGGTTTGGTGAGGTTGACTCTCGTTTTCTTGCCTTTAAGTGGGTTGATAGTTTTTGCACGAGGAGAAAAACCATGTTGTCAAGCCCCTCTGCCAGCCCAGTTAAGTCCAATGACCGTATACCCAACTGCTCAGCTACAGCTGGAGAGCAAGGCCCTAAGATCTGTGTCAGGCCCGTTTAAAAATATCCAACATGTATTTTTTAGCACACTGCATATATTTTAAAACTGAAAAAAATTATTAAAAAAAAAACTGAAAAAATTCAGTAGCTTTATAATCCAATGACGCCTCGCTCAATGCGGCGCTTGAGTCTTGTGCCCGCCACCAACCAAAAAAAAAAAAAAAAAAGAGAGATTGTGTGATGAAAACAAAAAAGGTTATTACGAGCCCACCTCAAAAGCAGCAACAATTTGATGGATGTTACTTTCTGGTTTCAAGTTCAGACAAAAACAAAACAGGAGAATTTCATTAAAAACTTTTAGCTGTGACGTAATTTTAATTGAAGCCAGAAAAAATTTTAAAATTACTGCAGGTCTAAAGAACTGGAATGAAATATTTTTTTTTAATTAAATGATCAAAATACCCTTCAATTATGACCAACGTTACTAAAATAACAAGTAGGGTTGTTGTTTTTACGAATAATATTACTAAAATAACAATACAAATTATAATTTTTACAGGTAACATTATTATAATAATAAATTAGGTTATGATTTTTATAAATAATATAATTAAAATAACGAGTAAAAATATAATTTTTATAAGTAACATTAATAAAATAACAAGTTAAGTTACAATTTTTATAAATAATATTATTATAATAGCAAATTGGGTTATAATTTTTATAAGTAATATTATTAGGATAACAAATTAAATTACGTTTTTTATAAGTAATGTTATGAGAATAATACTAATTTGTATTTATTATAGTAATGTTACTTGTAAAACCCAATTATAATTCTACTTGTTACTTCAACAATGCTAATTATAGTTGAAGAGCATTTTGGTTACTTATTTGAAATAATTTATTTTTTCAGTCCTCCATGCCTGCAATGAAAATTTAAATTTTTCGGAACTTAGCTGAATTACATCATATGCAAGGGCTTTCAATAAAATTCTCAAAATAAAAAAAAATCTTCTATGGATACCTGGATGATAAAAGCTGTGAAGGACAACACCTACAAGGCCAATAAAGACTGGTTCCAGTGGTAAAAACTTGACTCATAACTTGCAAAATTGTAAAATTAAATCATGTTATTAATATGAGTATTTTATTGGTAGATGACCTATTAGTACACTTCAATAAGTAATATTTAAATTTGAAATCATGTCTTGGCCCCAACAAGTCTTGAGACTTAGTTTATGTCTTTTTTTTTTTGCAAAAAAACAATGCCAACAAAATAGAGTATTTTGTGTCTTAATATTTGTTTGCATTTTTTATCAAACATGGTGAGCATAAAATGCATTACTCGTTTGCAGAATTTAAAATCTCCTCCCTCCATGATTTGTACACAAAATTAAAAATAATATCTCATATAAACAAAAAAAAATGCGATTTACAAATTGCTAACTAATCCCTCCGAACTGAAATATGAGTTATTATTAACTAATTTGTTTCTCTTAAAAAAAGTTTGTTGAAATCTTTTTTTTATTTTCAAATATTTTTAATTATACCACTGAGTATAATAAATATAATATTTAATTTAATTTAAAATATCTTCATTAATTACTCAAGAGAATAGAGGCATAATTGAAATATATATATATATATATATATACAACATCCACCCAATGTCATATATTTTGTGTTAAATAAAATTTTTATAAAATGGCTCATATGATAGTCTGAAAAGAGTATGCTTATTTTTCAAACGAACTGCAAAAGCGATGTATAAAAAAAACAAGGTCCGATTACAGTGCGACGAGTCGAGCGGCTCTCGTAGAGGTAAAATTTAAATGTTTCTCGAGAATTTAAATTTAATAATTATGCTTAATACATGTATTAACTATCTGTACCATCTAAACCATTACAATATAAATCAACAATTTAAATAAATTTACTGATTTATTAATATTAAGTAAAATATAAATTTATAACCATTAATCTGAATTTTAATGATTTAAATAGTACAGACATTTAATTTTAATACCTGTATTAAATATTATCATCAAATTTAAATACTCTTTCCCATCATACTTTCCGTGAATTGCAGACCATGTAACTTATTGATCGAGAATCATGCACAGTATAAGAGCGTGTAAAAGGTAAGCTGATAACACTTTTTTTAGGCTAGCCTCTGGTTTCATGTCTCGTGGATCAGGTTGAAACCAGTCTTGCTATCTATTTTATAATAAAAAAAAAACTTGTTTCGTACTAGACACGATACAAAAATTAAAAAACTCGAATTATCCACGGATAATGAACAGTGTAGCTCATTATTTAAACTTAATGCAATACACGTTCGACGGGATCATGCTAAAATTTATTTACAGAATATAAAAAAACGAAGCGACTGATTTAAGAGACTTGATGGAAAGAATAAAATGTAGGCGCATGTATACACAGCCAAATGAAAGGAATCAAGCAGCGAGTGAAGACGAGCTTAGCTGAAAGCTATAGGAAGGCTGGAGTGTTGTTCAATTTTGCTGAAGCAATACATAACATATCCAATCTCCACATTGGGAATCGCCCAGGCTCTCAGAACACTAGAAGATATCATCATTCGTGATTGAGATATTTCTCACAACAATACCAGTAGAAATGCAAAAATAGCATTGCATGTTAGCTGGTGAAAGAAACCCTTGGTTCGATGAGTAAAAAGTCCATCACCACGTGAACTCTTCTACAATATAATGCATGGATATGAGACAAATGATAACCCCTCGCGTCTTTTTTTGCTGGCTTCATTCTTTTGTCAATTAAAGCTTTGACTTCCACAGGATTTAAAGAAAGCAGGCACGTGGGTATATATGAATCTACTGCACTCCCTCCAGTTATGTTTATACTCCTGCTACTCCTGATATAAGACAACATTGTCTAATTTCACAAATCTTTAAAAAAACTAATCATTTAATTGTTATAATTTTTATTTAATTATAACTCAATCTCTCACTGTAATTTTAAATCATTGTAACTTAATTTTTAAAATTTTAACTCAGTTATAATTCAGTTTTTAAATTTTAACTCTTATAATTCAATCATTATATTTTTAATTATTTAAATATTAATCCCTAAATCTTAAAAAAATAAAATTGTGAAGATTAAAATGATGTTCAAATGTATTACTAATGATTTAAATCACAAAAACCCTTTTAATATTTATAAATATTAAAAGTTTAAAATATTTTTAATTTTTATAATTTTATTTTTAAATATAGGGACAAATATTTAAATGGCTTGAATTATAGGAATTAAGTCATGAGAGGCAAAATTTAAGAATTAAATTATAATTGAATAAAAATTGCTAGAACTGAATTATAATAAATTAAAATTTAAAAATTAAATTACGACTGGGTTAAAACTATATAATTTAAATGATTAATGTTTTAAAAAAATTGACAAAGCGGTAGTTGTTACCTTGAATGAACTTGTAAAAACGTGTAACTTTTCAATTTATCTCTTCATTAAAATTAATGACAATAGTAACGTGTTGTAAAGAAATTAAAAGCATGCCGGTAACTCACTGCAATTAAGGAGGGTATATCCGGGAAGAAGAATGACAGCTACACATTTGCCCTATATTCAAGGTTAAGTATGGTTTTAAAACTTTGTTACATAGTATCCAAGACAAGGGAGGGGAGATTGAGTTGTTTTTAACCATATGGTTAAAATGAAAGAGAGGTAATTAAATTATTGAATTTGTTTTAAAAAAGATATAAATTTTTAAAGAGATTAGGGGGATAAATTGGCAGAGGCCAGGGAGGCAGGATATGTGCTCCGGAAGAGAAAAGGACAAACGGGAGAGAAGCGCGTGGGGATCTACAAGCACTAAACGTAGCTGAGAGGGATGCCATGTAATGATGAACCATGATCATGCCAATCACCCCCTCAAGGCCTTAACATCTCCACGTGCGTTCTTGCCCTGCTCTCCTATCCAAATCTACCCCTGACCCTTATTTTATTCCATTAAATCATGTATTTTCTACGCCAATAACATAGTCGTATAGCCGGATGTGATATGAGTCTATGCTTGATTTTTTTTAAACAAAAAAAATCTCTTAATCATAATTATGAATTGATGTGATTTGTATTATTCAATGTAATTTTCCTAATATAAAGGTGGACAGGATCCCTGTTTTTATTATCTATCGAATTCATTGTAATTACGGAGTATATATCCAAAGAGAGGAGAGTCGTCCGAACGAATAGAAGATTATTCTAGAATAATTACAGCAAATAAAATAGTAAATACAGGTATCCGGTCAACACTTATACTAAGAAACTTACCTTAAATAATACAAATCATGTCAATTCAAACTTATAATTAATAAAATCAAATAACATTCCATATTTAATAAAATATGAAATTATTAACCCATACTTTTTTTGGCCAAAAACTTATTAACCCATATTGAATAATTGAACCATGCTTTTTTTTTTGGCCAAAAAAACCATGCCTTTTTTTTGGCAAAAAAAAAAACCATGCCTTTTAAATTATTCTTTCGTTTCATTTTAAAATCTGGTTCACACATTTTATTATATTTTATAGTACTATATATATGCGCGCGCGCGGGGCTTGCTTAATTTTTCTGGGACATTTTTAATAAAAAACTTAAGCACATAATTTACCAAAATCGTGTGAAATTAATTAATATCCAGCCAATAAAGATGTGACGTGGAACTTCAGTCAAGTTTTGTGTTTGTTACAATTACTGGAGGGAACATAATGAATCACCCGACCCTGAACTCAACTCTACGCGCCCAACACTGATAAAGCAGAAACCATCCCTCCACCACCACACCACTCACCTCCTTCCTCCTCCATCTTCTTTCTCTCATCGCTTGCTGCTGCCCGGAGCGAGCACTCGTAACATCCGTGTTCAAAGGTGCGATCTCTCTCTCTCTCTCTCTCTCTCTCTCTCTCTCTCTCTGTGAGTGAGTATCAGAGGCCTAGTGCTACAATAGTTGATGTAGGTTGGCGTCTCATTAATGCAATGGCGGAATGGTATCGGCTTTTTCACCAATCTGCGTGTTCTGTCATTTCTGTCTCTGCCATCTTTGTCGCTTCGACCCACCCTTTTGCCTCTGCCATGCATCCCGCTTGTGCGACCCTTTTCCTTCCTTTTTCCTTCCACGTATACAGCCTGCTTCCGCCCTCTCGTAGCTCCGGTTTTTTAGCTTTTACATTTCCCATGCTCTCTCCCTCTCTATATTCTCTCGGAAAATAATCCTCTCCATTTTCTATCTCTCACGGGAAAAATCAACTTTCCCGCTTCTCAAGGAACTCTTCTTCTCCACCGGTACTGTTTTTTCTACTGCGTGAGCTAGCCTTCGATTTTCGTGAAATTTTTCATTATCCTTTGACACGGTTTTCCTGAGAAATGCATGAGCCGAGTTGAATGTTATCTCCCTGGGTATTTTCCTGTTACGGCCACTTGGTCGAGTGTCATAAATCGTGTGGGTTCTTTTTTGGAGCTAGCTGGCTTCTGCTTCTTCCCGAATGCTTTTATTTTTGGCCAGTTCCGTCACCAACCTGCGGTTGCCTCGCCTTTTCCTTTAAGGTCTCTCTGTCATCTTTGCCCCGTGACCGTGAGTGACTCTCTCCCAGTCTGCAAGTTCAATTCGAGTCAAATCTCGAGCCTCTTTCTTTTTAGGAGCGACGGCGATTCGATGACTGATTTTTTTTTTTCTATCTCTTCATTTTTCGGATGATGTGATGTCTTTTAATTGAACTTTGTATATATCGTCATTTTCTGCAGATCTGTGATAGTATTGGCTCTTGCTTCCATGGTATTCTAGGGTTTCGAGTCTCGCTCACCGTCTACTGCGTTGCGTTTTCCTGTGAGGAAGCAACGACTTCGAACGAGATTCGTTTACTGTGTTGATATCGTTAATGGAAGCGTGTTCGATCAGATTAATCGTTATATTCTTAGCGTCGTCCTTGTTCATCTTTGGAGTGCTATCTTTTCTTGCGGGTGAGTCTCTGCCTCTGAATCTCCCGGTGATTCATACTGCTGTTATCCCTTGGACAGATTCCTGGTTAACGTTGTTGCTTTTTTGCAACTATTCTTATGATGTTATTGAGTGGCATCCGTGTTAGCTGCTTGTTTCTTCAATTATTGTTCTTATGATTATGATATCCATCACAGATACGGATGCTTTGACGGGTAGTATGGGTTTCAAGGAAGATGGCAACAACACTCTCTCTTGTACTCATCGCAAGCTTCTCCATCATCGTGGTAATTTATACATGCAATTTTATTGATTTTGTTTATTTCTATTCATCATTTATAAGGGCTCTGTTGAATTTCCAAGATTACAAAGATGGATTGATATGGGTGAGTGAATGGGTTTTACATTTTCGCCTTTTCGATTATTCCATCCTGAAATAGTTGAGATGAGGCGTTACGAATGGATCATGTATCAGCGGAGACATTTGGAATTTGGTTCTAGAAAATGACGCCTCGGCCTGTCCGACACCATACTGTCTGATACGTACGATTACGTCGTCACGCCAAAGCTTCACTCTGGGATTTTATTAAAGGGAGGCCAAATGCTTGCTTTTATCTTCCATTGGGTTCTGGGCATGACGACCATAAAAAAAGTCTTCCATTGGGGACGGCTTGTTTCTATGGTTATGCATTTATGCGTTTGATTAGACATTAGATGTTAATTACATCAAGTGTACTGATTAGTACTCGGGGAAGTGTTCGGCTAAATTATGAGGATGCACTCCTGGTTTATTTGTATTTCTTTTCAGCTAAGCAGCTAGTCGTGACAGGGCTTTTGATTTTTTTTTTTTTTACTTCACTGGAAAGTAACAGAAAAAAGCAGAATTCCGACTTCAAAGAAATTCGAAAGCGAGGGGCCTGCTTTTTGAGTTGTTAGTTTGCTTTGTTTCCATTTTGATACATGGCCTCAATAGTAGTGTTTTGTCGTTATATGACTTCCTGATTAGCCCCTGTATGTAATGCGTAATATGGATGTGCTGTTTAGCAGTGCAACTTTTGTAGCATAATCATTTACTGCCCCATTTTACCTTTTTCAAAGTTCCTCTTTCTTTCCCTCCATTCGTTGACCTGCTTTATGCTGCAGCCACTGCTACGGCGGAGCCGAACCGAATTTGGGGCGACAAATGCAGCAAGGCTGATATTGTAATACACCAAGGTCCCACAGCACCTCTTCCCAGTGGCATTCCCACCTACACCGTTGAGATCATGAATCTTTGCGTTGGTGGTTGCAAAATTGCTGGTATTCACCTGCACTGTGGCTGGTTCAGCTCTGCTCGCCTCATCAACCCAAAGGTGTTCAAGCGCCTTCACTACAATGACTGCCTCGTTAATGATGGGAAGGCCCTCAAGAATGGCGGTACCATCTCCTTTCAATATGCCAATACCTACCTTATCCTCTCTCAGTTTCTTCTGTGGTCTGCGCATGATGACCCCTCCGAAATAATAGAGGCCATTGTCATTTTCGTTTAGTTTTTGTTTTTTGGGCACAAATTTTTGACATGTATATATAGGTATAGGTATATGCCATATTGCTTTTCATGTGCAGGCTGTGTGAGCTTTGAACTGTGATTAGAGGAATGCTTAAAATTGTTTTTGATAGCGACTAGGTGAAGTGATAAGTTTCAGACCTAACAGTTTGACCTGTTTGCCTATTTCTGTTCCTTTTGGCATCTTATTCTTTTGGCTATCGTGTACCTTCATTAATATAGAACTGTACCAGCATTAAGTTTTTGCCGTCAGCAAAAATTCATGGCCGCTCCACATAACGTTTATATAGTAAACCAACTCTTTTCCACCCATACGCATTCATGAACTATTGAGCGCCCTTTGGCTGGGCATCAAAAGAAAATGTTTTGTGATTTTCATCACCGAAATGAAAAATGTTACTAATTTCATTCATGATGGTGTGATGGTATATAATTAGGAACTCTGTCTTTTTCGGGCCACTTTGGTTTGGGGAGAGTGGGTGGTTATCACAACTCATCATGCCTTGTTTTGGATGTCTCGTTCAGATAAATGATTTGTTAAATTAAGACCATGATTCTGTCTGTTAATTATTAGATTCCATCAAGTTAATCTTATTGGCAATCATAATTACGCCGTGACGTTATACAATTAAATATTGATGAAATATCTGAGTGGGTGGGAATTGAAATCTTCAGGTGGTTCAGAGTTCATGTATTTTAAACTTGTCCATCAAATCATGTTAAGATGCATTCTTCATCTTTTGCTATTTTTTAGTTAAATTAGGTTCTTACCGTGTATTTGTAATTTGGTCGTTTATAACCGTTGTATAAAAATGTTTACCATTAAAATTTGAGAAAATACTATCAATTAAACAATTAGATGAATGAACCTATCAAGGGAGGTTGAAGCCTTTGTTAAAAATAAAGATAAAAACGGCGATATCCCTTCATGGTTCCCGAAGAAGAAAAAAGGGGACCTGAATGGGCGGGGCTGGGAAATTTGAAAATGCCGAGAAACATGATGATGTAGATGTTGCCATGTTGGAGATAGAGCATGATGTGGAGTGATGGCGATCTCCATCCCGCACAATGACATATGGACCATAAAATCAAAGCTTGGGAAGGGGAAAAAAAAATCAGCGTCATGCTCACGGGTTTATTTGGAATGAAAAAGTGGACTGCTCTCAAAAATGATTAATTTAATTTTCATAAAGTGTATCCAAGTCAATGGCTTTACAGGAACGGGGAGGGTGAAGGTGGGATAATTTCATTGCTGGCAGCAGGGAGAAATATGTAATATAATGTTGGAAGAGTTCAGCAAGTCCGAATTACATCATGCTACGTATATTATTAATTTAATTTTAGTTGTCACGTCACGCTCTCATTTTAAAGGTTAAGATTAATTTACTAATAAACTCCCTTGCAAAAATCAGAGTAGGTCATGGGCTCACGGCCTCGGCAGCCTCCTCTGCTAATCTCGAAACTTTCTTCAAAATTAAATGCACATTCCTCAAACTTCGGGTAAGGTGATGTTAACCTGAGGTTTTAATTGAAAGGGACTCCACCCCAGCCAGGCCTCGTCATTTAAAGAGCCAAGACAAGATAAAAAAGAAAGGGGGGGGGGAATAGCTTCATTTTATCTTAAAATTGTAATTTTTTTTTATATTTAACTTTTACCTTTTTTTTATATGTTGTGAGAATGTGAGAATTTGAGCCTTAACTTCTACCCATGTCATACCTCACTTAGCTCCAGCCACCTAAGCTAGCTTTAATACGTGATAGTTACACTGTTCTAAAATATATGTATAATTTAAATATTTAAAAAATTAAAAAAATTATACAAGTACTTTCCCCTGCCTCAATAACATTAGAAAAGATTACTCATATTAATAAAATACAATAATGACACTTTACATATTTACTTTTCAAAATAAAATTATAAATTTTTAAAAATATCCCTATACACTTAATTATTACTTTTTTTGGTCATATTTATAGGGTAAAGAGAAAAGAAAAAACTCGATCATATTTATAGGGCACTCATCAATTTTCAATACTTTTTTTTACATTCTTGCCCTTATTAAATGCTTTAAATACAAACACCAATATGAAATTTAAGAATATTTATTAGGATTAAAGGTGAAAATTTATAAAATTTTAAGATAAAGTTAATAAGATTTAAAATTTTCCTTAGTTCTGATGAAACATGCTGGAAGTCACTTATAAATAATATCAAAAAGAGTATATTACAATGTCATTTCAATTGAAGAGTAATATTAAAGAAGTATTATTAATAAAACTTTATTTTTTAAATTGTTTTATTTTTTGGGACAACAATATTCCTCCAATTTTATCTTATAATTTTAGACAAAGGGAGAGTATTAATGAGGTACATGAAAAAGAGGTTGGAATTTTTTTTTAAATACACAACCCAAGATATTGTTGACTATGCAATGGTAATACTCCTTCCATTTTAAATTATATGGCACTTTTGAAAGATTTTTTTTGTCTCACAATATATATATGATACTTTGAGTAGATTAAGGTCTCATTAAATGCATCAATTTCAATATTACCCCTTCTCTTTCTATAATAAATTTTTATCCATTTTCTTTTCAATGTATTAAATAATGAGTATTTTAAAATTTTATATTTTTTTTAAAAAGATAAGGTTATTAAATACATTTAATAAAATTTATTAGTATGTAAAATTTTATCTAAAAGTATTTCATAATTTGAAATGAAAGGAATACGATACTGATACTGTTTTACTTGATGTTGATTATTAGAGGAAATTTATCTAATAAAGGAACCATAATTAAAAACCTAAGGTTTTTTTACATTAAAAAGTCTAAATTGAGAATAGTCATCTTTGAGGAATCAAATCACTAATAAGTTGACCAAAAAGTAATTCACGGTCCTGCCCATTGATGAAGCATAAAAAAAAAAAGAAAAAATACCAGCCTTGCATTCATGAGGAAAATCATATCACACAAATCATTAGGGGAAAAAAAAAACCTAATAACGTGATGCACATAGATGAAAATCAATTGGCCACTATTAACTCTTTAAAACTTGTAATAAAAAAGAATGCACTTTTTGGAAGTCAACATCAACACAAACGTTTTCTTTGAATACATACATACATACATACATATATAACTGCACGTAGACTTTTACACATGAATGCTGAAAGTAAAAATGGCTTGGGCTCCAGACAATGATTCCTGTAGTTTACGGCTAACTGATGGTCTATAGATGAGCACCTCCAACTTAAGGAGCTGCCTTCACAATATCGAACAAGAGCACATGACTTTCTTGGGTGAATCATCAATCTTCTTCTCTGTTCGGGAAAATAGGAATGCAAATGTCAAACCGAAAGTGTCTAAACCTTCTTACTCAAGCGCAGAAGGGCTAATTGAAAAGGAAAAATATCCACAATTTTTATAGTAGTTCATGATTATCTATTGGGTGCAAGATCCCCCCTAACTACAGAATCGCCCTTGGCACTTTTATCGCATTACCCTTTGACAGGAAAAATAAATCAATGGTTGCATCAATAACGGAAATGAAACTGCTGGAGTACAATGATATCAGCAAAGCAGATCCAACTGCCAGCATGCAACAAGATTGGTTCTCGATTGAGCTCCAGTTAAATTTGAAACCATGAAATATACAACAGTGATAACCTTGAAATTAGATAGGGAGTCAAAATTCAAAGCCATTAAAAGAGTAGTAATCTTCATATGAAGAAGTCAGCACAAAATTACCAGCTTTAGATTTTGATAGAGAAGGCTGTACAGCAACATGCATTATTATAACTCCCCTGCAGCATCACCAAATGGTACTTTACAATGACCAACAGTTTTGTTGTTTTCCAAGATTTTACCAGAATTAATCAGTTTTACTTCATTTGCTGCCTTTGGAACGACTGTTTTACCTACAGTAGGGGAAAATTTAAAAGAATCACATGAAAGAACAGCAGAAAAGAAAGAAACTAGCAGAAGAAAAGAACAACATTTGAATGTATTCCACAAGGTGCCTTGAGACAACCAATGATGCACCCGATTTGATCAGTCATAAGATTACAACTCAAAGGATCTGCAGTAACAATAGTCGTAAATAGTTGATTAAATCACTAGAACCTTGAATACTGTTAGTGAGTTATTAACCACCAAAGACATTAATATTCAGTAGTTCACAGTCCAAGTCATGTAAATAAGACGATAAGCATGTTCAATTTCATCTTATGACGTCTAAGTACATAAAAAGCATACAACGGGAATGCCCTTTCATTCCTTCGAGTTAGCACAGAAAAAGGAGTCTTCTAGGAACCTCACTGTGAATGCATGAAAGTAAAGGAGTGACCCTAACAAGCAATCAACTCCAACACAAATTTAGTGAGGGAGTGCCTTTTAAAGGAAATATGTCCTGGCAAAGAGTTTGGCTAAGAGGTTCAGATGAAATGTTCATTTATCTAATGCAAAACTAGTATATTGATATATTGATGTCTAAGATCATAGACCTTCAAGTGCATCAAGCCCGTACAAACTTTAAGCATATCAAGAGCATAAATCAGGGAACACACCTGGAATACTCCAGTCCAGACTCTAGCATTTTATAACAGGGTGTAGTAAATCTCACTTTAAAACATCATTTAAGATAACGTTTGACTTTCATGTTTTGTATGAAGAACCATGTTCAGTCCCACTTCCAGTTTGCTAGGAAAAGTGGACGACGAGTCAACATCATAATTATTTCAAATTACACACACACATGTATGTATTGGTTTAAATGTCATTTTGTTATCTAATTTATTGCCTTGATTCACCTAGGCAAGCGCCTTTCTAGCACTTCTTGCCTAAGGTTTACAAGTCTAGCACCTCGAGGGCACCTTTTTCCTTTGAATACCCTGTTTCAAAATGCTCTACTCCGAAAATAATCGGCTCTAATTCCTTTTAAACATCCAAGCAATCTCTCACTTATTTTATTATTTTAGAACAAAGTTGACACAGAAAATAAGAGGGAAATTCATAGAATAAATTTAAAAAAGAGGGGAAAAAACATTTGTGTTATAGTTATAAAAAGGGAATCAAAGAAAGAGATCTAACTCACACGTATAACTTGTAAAGTTCAAAAATCAGAGCCTGTCAGCTCATATTCATGAGCGTTAGAGATGAAACCAGGTGATACTAATTTTCAAATATGAACTGATATTCATGTCCTTAATATTGCTCTTTATAAGATGTGTTTGAGCCTTTCAGGCAAAACCAGTAGCTGCATGCCTGTGTGAATAAGAAATGAGATGAAATGCTTGTATCCTTAATCTTCACACCCTAATCAACCCACATCAACGGATAAGAGATAAATGACAAAAGAAAATGAAAGCTTTCTGCAACTTTGATAATAATAATGGTTATTATGTCAGCAACAGTAATATAATCCTTAATCTAGTATGCATTCATAAGTCCATTCCCCAAACACTGGCTTTACTGTAATAATACAAGTCGGACTTGACCTACTCCGATTTCCTTCACGTCATCATTTCATTGATAGTTATGAATACACTTTCTAGCATAAAAAAGTTAAAACAGATCTCCTAGAACCCCCAAACTTCATTCCTGGTGACCTTATGGTGGAATTTCTTAATACCAAAAACGAACTGAAAAAAGGATGTGATACGTACGTAGGTTTCAATTAGACTCCCCAAGTCTCATTGGACTTAATATGCCTAAGCAGGTGATGGAATGTGTCTGACTGAAAATTACGTAGTCAATATGATATCACCCAACAGCCAGTTCGTGACATTTCACACTACCTAAAAATTCTCGTTATATACACAGCGCTTAGGACTCTAAAATTGCTACTACCAAGACCTGTTGAATTGCAAATATCATATAAAACAAAATAATGATCAATCCTATTCCAAAGAACATAACATACTAACAACAAATTTGCAAGAGCTAAACTGACACTGACCTTTGGGCCAATCGGACACAACCCTTTGCTTGAGCATATCGACCGTGGCGGCCGATGAGTAGCTGAAAGGTCCCATATCGGACCCATCGTACAACCTGAACTTTATGTCAACCAAATCCTCTTCAGGCATTTGAATTGACTTCTTCAATTGTACCCACCGATCACAGACAAGTATGTCACAGCTCTTTGATCTATAGCTTGTGCTTATCAATCTCACCCCCGAATTCCTAAAATTCAATCGAAGTGGTTTTACTTTGACAAAAGATAATATATTCAAAGATCTATAATTGGATCAAGCAGTGTTTTAATATCAATAACTCAGAGAAATCAAGACGAAAATTGCTAGAATTTGAACGGTACCTTTAACAGTTTCACCGGATTTTTTCCTTTCAATTGAGGATTTTGACTTTTGATGAGAAATCGGGGTGTGTGCTGTTGTGGAGTTGCTTAAACCGTTGAACTGAAGAAGACAAAGCAAAAGTCCTCACGTATATGAACGGGAAACCGAACCAAATCAAAACGACACAGTTTAATATCCTCGCCAAAACGACGCCTTTATTTTCTTGGCCATAGCCGTAGAGATGGAGTCATTGCAACGACGTCGCTTACGTTGTCGTTGGCATTACGTTCCGATGCTTCCCCCTCGCTCCGTTCGAGCCTGAGAAATACAGTTCATAACAGAAAAGATGAAGAGGAAGAGAGCAGGCGAAGTCATGGATCTAGTGTGGCAAACCCCAGCGAATCCCCCAGAACCACGAGACTATATCTTTCGAAACGGTATTATCGTTATCGTTGTAGTTCCAAGGATTGATAAGGAAAAAACTGTCAAGGCTTAGCTTGTTTACGAGAAAGATAATGTTCGATTTTATTTTCCTTTGTCTTTATGAATTTGCAGGAAGAAGGCATGTTAGACCATACTACTTCGAATTTATTGCTCACGTTAGTTCTTCTATGTACCTTTCTGCTATTTTTGGCTTCACTCAGTTGGTGCAGTAAATATCGCGTAAACCCTGATTAAATTTGATTGCTTGAGAGCAGGTGAAAAATCGGTGGGCAGGAAAAACGATTGTAGATTTATTTGCTGAAGAGTTTAAGGGTCGACCTTATGAATATTATGTAAGAAACAAGCATGCTTTTATTTTATTTTAAAATGAGTCTCCATGCTCTAATATGCAAGCAGCTATTCATTGAGCTTAACTGTTGTGTGTTTCTAAAGGCTAATTGCAAATTTCTTTTGAGTGATACTTTTTATACGTTCGTTAGTTGACGGATACATAATCTGATTGGTCGAAAACCTGAGAAAATCTACCCGCATGTTCAAGTAGGAAAATTTGATTGAATCTTATTAGGTTTAGCTCAATGAGTAAGTTAAGCCAGAATATAAGTTTTTTGACTTTCATGTTGAACATTGTAGGTTAATGCAGTGGGATGTGGACGGATACAAGTTGATGGTGAGATGGTGCCAGTATCATACATTGTTAAACCATCTCAAAAGATCAGCCATTTCTTACACAGGTTCCCCCCTCCACTTGATGCTCTGTTTAAAAGGAAATGATAGTGATTGGAATTGAAACTGATATTGTAGAGGTTGTAGGCATGAACCGCCTGTGATGGCTTGGGGTGTTCCTGTTCTTCAAAAAGAACCAGATGTGGTGACAGTTTGTAAGCCAGCATCTATCCCTGTACGTAAGCAGTGACTATTGGCACGCCCATTTTCTTTTGGCCAAAAAAATATATTTTATGTGATATATAGCTGGAAAGAAGGAGTATTATCCTTTTTTCTTCCCTGATTGACCACCGAGCACTAGCTAATAGGACAGAAAAGGAATCAAACATTGTTGCCATTCATTGTTTTTAATGTCTCTTCAAATGCAATATATACCTCAGTTTTCTTTATCTTTTGGCTTTCCCCTCTCACTTGCAATTGCTCCATAACTTCTGCTTGGTGCACTGAAATTTTGCCAGTCATATTGTTTCATCACTATATTTACATCATAAGTTACTGTATCAGAATCCTTTTGCAATTATGTGAAAGTGTTGCTGCAATTAGTTAATTCTTCTGTTAACTATGGTTCCCTTTATTATGAAAGGTACATAAAGATTAGCTTATACTGAACTTTTTTAATGTCTTGGGAAGATGGATACATGTCCATGTATATTACGCACATGCCAAAAGTTCTTGCTTCTAGAATATTCATAATTCATTGCATTGAGTTTTTAGCTATTAACATATCCACAGAGGACTCAAATTGATATTCCTGTTATTTGTTTCCAATCATCTAGTTCAATCTCAATAGCAAGACAAAGCCTTCGTGTCAGTTTTTTTTTCTTGCCTTTACAAAAAGAAGCCTCAAATCCTGCACGGATTTCTTGTTAGTTACCTAATTGAAGCTATATGCTTCTTGATATACTGTGTTTTATACATGCTAAAACTGTCAATTTTAGCTGTGACATAGGTCCATCCTTGTGGTCAATATCGTAAGAACACTGTTGTTGGTATCCTTCAAGCAGAGCATGGGTTGGCACCTCTATTTCGTATCCAAATTTTTAGAAATAAAATGTCTAATTTTAATCACACACACACACACACACAGTGTCTTTAGAAAGTAATTTTTTGTGGTACATAGAAAGCAATTTATTATTGAAAGAATCTTCTTCTTGAACTTAGTTTATTTGCATACTCTTATCCTTTAGAGTTTTTCAAATTTGTGTTTGCATCTTCCTTGACATGACTATGTCAGCGGTTCATCGACTGGATCGTCTTGTCTCAGGACTTCTCATTTTGGCCAGAAATGCTCCAAAAGCTGATTTGTTCAGGCAACAGGTGAATCTTTATTGTATCTTACATTAAAATTGTAATAGTTGATTCATTTTCTTTTGCCCTTTGAGCTGGCTAACGTCATGTGATTTGTCTTAAAAAAAAAAAAACAGGATAATAGAGAATAAACAGTGATGTTGACTCTTGTTGGTTGTGACTAAGGCTTCTGAGTTTTGAGCTGTATTTGTGATGGAAGAATGGTTTTGAATAATGCACATTTACTAAATTAAGATATTGGCTGTCATGTGTGCACGGAATGTTCAATTTCTGTGTCACGCCATCAAACTGAAATGATAGAGATCTATGATGTTTAATTTATTTATATTTTTGCACACAGAATTAGAACATTACTTTTCTTTCAGTAAATTTAAATATTGACAGTGGTTATCACTTGTTACAGATTGAAGCTAATTTAGTCCAGAAACAATATATCGCAAAAGTAGTTGGTGAATTTCCAGAGGATGAGGTATTCATATATTTGAGCTTGATAATTTGAGTTATATAAGACTGTACTTTGTGTTATGTTCATGAGGTAAACCCTGCAAGCATATGATGTAAGATATCACATTCAACCTTTTTTTTTTTGGTTGCTGCTTGTACCTTCAGCCTTATTTGTTTATGCATATATCATCCCGTTTCTGGACCATCCTTGAGATTTTCTTAACGTTTTCGGAATTTCTCCATAATCCAAAACGTTATTATTTCTGTTTAGTCTGTCAGCTTTTAGTTTGAATTGTTAAATGTATTCACAATTAGGGAAAAATTTTGCAGAGGGTAGAGCTGCGAAGAGAAAGTTGGCATATCTGAGATATAAATAGGCTAATTTTGTACAATATTGCCACCATGGAAAAAATTATAATGAAATTTGTGTGGATGAAGGTATTTCTAAAACAACTTTGGTGAAATAAACTGTGAAAGAAGTTGTTTTCATAGCAGCTTAGAAGTTATGGGACAAGTTGCTCTTTCTGCTCGTAATTGTTCAATAACACCTCAAGTGGCTGAAACCTAGTGACTTGATCTCAGTATATCATGATTCGTTCTTTTTTGTGGATACCTATTCATAAGAATGTGCTATTTATATGCTATGTGGTTTTCTAATCCTAATTTTTGGTTGTAATTGTTTTGTAAGCATGGTGGAAACTGCCTTGTACTATTGCCGATGGAAACACACATCATTCATAAACGAGTCTGATGTTTCTGATAAAATTGAAGCAGATATTGGGCACTATATTTGATCCTTTTGACTCTTGTTTATCATCTTCATTGATTAGCTGAGATTCTCAATGGATGTCTGGTTCTGAGTCTGGAGATAGAAACTCAGAGATGGGTTGTGCAAATCACCTATCAATGAGAGGCTTTATTTGTGCTGTTTATGGGGTCAGTGAGGGCAATTTAGACTAAGAAAGGGTTATTGCAGATGGGTGCAAGTAACATGATTTGTTTTGATGAGGAAAAAAGGGTGTTGCTGGGAAAGGTGTTCATCTGTCACATTGGAAAGGACTGTGTGATTGCTCTTCTTCTTTTTGCTCCTTTGGTGCACTGTGAAAGTTATTGATTACAAGATTGGCAACGTGGAAAAACTGTAGGAATTTTTTTTTAAATTTTTTTTTAAGGGAGGTTTCATTTAAAAGCATTAACTATTCTTAAAAATAGAAATTATGAATATCATCTTTAACTGATTCTTTTGTATGAGACAGGTAACTCAATATGCTATCCCGGTGAGGCCACATTTGTAAAATAAACTATAGCTATAAATAGTTAAGTGTTATTCTGTCAGTCAACATTGCGACACTTGCCTTCCCATTTAACATTTTCCGTTTAACATTCATCTTCAGCAAGTTGTTGATGCCAATATAAACTATAATGCTCGAGAAGGAAGAAGCACAGCAGAGGTGAGGCGTTTGGTTCTAAGGTTTACTATTAGAGAAATGAAATTTATAATTTGATAAAACTTCAATACCAAAGAGTACAGACAACATGAACTTGTAATGGTGGAAAGGCCTTTCTGGTTAATTCATAAATTCTTGGTCTTCCAATGTGTTTCCCATAAATGTAACAAATACGAGCTATTTTAAGGGACAGTGGTGGAGTAAGTTCTTTTCTTCTAGTAATCTATTCTGTGTTGAACTAAAATTCTGGCACGTTTTGGTACTTAAATTGAACCATAGTACTAACAATGTCTTGATTTATGATATGTGCTCCAGAATAAGAATTTAAGCCATTATTATAAAGATGCTTAAATTTGAGCAATTATAGCAATTGTTGGAAGAAAAATAAAGTTGATGTATTCTGCCCTTGACGAATAAAGGTGGAGGGACTAGGAGTTGATCTAAAATTACAATTCTGACTAAAAAAAATATCTTCATTTTTTCAGGTCAAAGACTCTGCAAAGGGAAAGACTGCCTGTACAAAATTCACTCGGATCAGCTCAAATGGAACCTATAGCATTGTTTTATGTAAGCCAATCACTGGCCGAACTCATCAAGTAAGAGCTTGCAGGCCAAAGTTGGCCAATGGTACTCCACATTGCGTTTTGTTATTAATTCCATTTAATTAGTATTTTTCCCTCTTTTGCCTCAAGTGAAGACGATTAATCCTTACATTATTAATTCCATTTAGCTAGTATTTTCCCTCTTCTTCCTCTCAAGTAAGAGCTGTATGTTATTATAGTCTCTTTTTTTGTGTCTTTACTCTCTTGCATCTCCAGTCTTAGCCTCCATTACCTTTCTGATATATGCTAGCTTTAAGCTTCTGCCTTTACATGGATGGTATATCTCATGTGGTCTTTTCATCGTGACATGTGACTCGCCAGTAATGTGTTTCTCACATTCAGATGTTGGCTGATGCACTCTGCTGTCTCTGTAGGCACAAGCAGCATCTCTTTACCTTTTAGTTTTAGATAACATGTTGGTACTTGGTTGTCTATCGTCAATTCATAAAACTGGTTGAAAGAGATGCAGGACTATGTCCAAAAAAAGGGAAGAAGGAGATGCAGCAAAGAAAATGGCATAAAAATGACACAAGGAATTTAATGCTTCGAGTCCACCATAATATCCAAAGCTGTCCTGCACCCCTTTTTACCATTCTAGTTATAGTTGCTAATGAAGTTACCCCCCCCTCTCTCTCACTCTCACTCTTAAATACTCAACCTCTGGTGCAGATACGTGTTCATTTACAGTATTTGGGACATCCAATAGCCAATGACGTGCTGTACCTCTCCGCAGAGACTGTTGATTGGTCTAGTAAAGGGTCAAGTGCTGATAGATCTGCGCTTGTGTCAGATGCTTCCCTGAGACCAAGTTTTGATGAAGAAGTGCTCCACAAAAGTGAAGGCGACTCCAATGATGATTTTAGCATTGATCCCATGTGTACAAACTGTCCAAATCTGGCTCCCAAAGGGTACAAACTCAAACTTCTTTGTCGTATAATGTAATGAAAAATATCTTAAAATTGAATTGCCAAAAAACAAAAATGCATGGCTGTCTTCTAATGAAAAGAAAGAGTATATGTCCAGTAGTGATTTTTTTTTTATTTTTGGGGCCAAGTTGCAAAAGTATGAGCATCGTTCTTAAGCTGGTTCTCAGACTTTTTGGCTGGTTAAAATGCGCTTGTCATAATCAAATCATGATACCATGATGAAACGCTCCAAAAACTTTTAGACCTGGATGAGATTAATATTTCACTGTGTATCTAGCATGGTGAAAGCGAAACTTCTGCAATTTCAGGATGTCTTGAACTCAATTTCTCGACTTTTACATGCTTAGACTTGCAGAAAGTTGTTCAACTGTGTTATTTCGTGTTCTCAGTTTTGTTGCAAAAATGCTTTTGATGATGTTGATGATGCCGCTGATGATTCAATAACTTGTCTGTTTGGTGGAATTATATTTATCACCATGTTACGATTGGTTAAAGTATGCACGTTTTTATGCAATACATTTTATGATAACAACCTTTCAGTAACATCATCTTGTGATTGATGATTTTATTGTGACTGTCCCGTGTGGTTATGAATTGCAGATACGATGGCCTTGAAGAAGGTCTATGGCTACATTGTTTTCGGTACGCTGGACCTGGATGGACGTATGAATGCCCTTATCCTGATTGGGCTAAGCTTAGCTGATCAGTCAATTTTTGTTTCAATTTTCACTTTTTTGCTTTGGGGAGACCCCCCCTTATAATTATACCTCACATATTATTATCGTGATTCTTTTAGGAGTTTGGAATAAGTCCTTTTTGTTAGACCACATATTTTCCGATTTCATATGTATGATTTCTTAAATGTGATCTCTTCGCCTTTGTCAATATAATTTGCAAACCTGGGAAGCAAATCTTATCAAGGCACGTCGATGCATATGGCGGGACTCCGGAGCCTTGACCATCTTCAAATATGGCTTGAGTGTTTGAGTCTAAATTGGTAGGGGTTACCTTGTTGAATACTAACATGTCCAGTGAATTATTTATTCTCTAGAAATAAGAGGGCAAAATAATAATAATAATGATGATGATGATGATGATAAATAAAAACCGAAATTTTATCATTTTTGCTACAGAAGGGAAAAAAAAAAAAGACCACCCTTGAGCTGCATAATCAGATTTTTAACTGAGGTGCAAATGTTTATTTCAATGTGTAAGAGTGGTCAGGGAGAAATTCATATAGCACGAATTTAATGTTAAAGTTCTTTTAGAAAAGATTTTATTTTGGGTCTAGTCATCAAGGATAAACGTTGAGTTTATTTGAAGCCTAACCCATTACAGTGCTCTTGTGCAGTGGGGCATAAAAGTGGCGAGGACGTGATTAGGCTAAAGAAAAAGTGCATGTAACTTTATATTTTTGTAAAGACGCCTGAAATGATCATCATGAACATGAAATATGACTTCCGCATGGACAGAATCGGGTAGGGGCTCATATGCTATCCTCGACGGTACGAATTAGGAACATGAATCTCTGATTGTATTTGTGGCACAAAATGATTGGACCGGTTGAATAAGTTAAAAAATAAGATGGGTTCCCCGCTTCATGACAAAATTGACGGAGACGTTTAAAATCAGTTAATTCTTTTTTCTTTTTTCTTTTTTTTTGAGTGAAATGAAAGAGAGACAAAAAAAAAAAAAAAGGTGGAAAAGGGAAGATATTGTTGAATTAAAGCATGAGGTCAGCAAATTAGGCTCGCCTCAAAGTTGATCGGTGCAGACACACATGGTATGGCATTGTCCATCTCTGCTAAATCCTATCAAAGCATAATATATATAAAGACAATCAGCATTATGAGTCAATGATCTAAAGGATTATCCCCTAAATTTTTTTCATGGCATGAAGATAACTTTTTAAATTACTTGGTGTAAACTTCAGACTTGCCATTTCTGCTTTTTACTAGCCCAGAATCAAAGCTTATCAGGAACTTGGTCTAACATTTCTGAAAAATCAGCATGGTTATAGGGGAAATTCTAAGTGCGTCTAAAACAAAGCTCAAATTCAAATGAATGAATCCTCATGCAATGATAAATCTGCCTCCCGTTTGGTTTTTCTGGGGAAAAAAAATTGAGTGAAAATGTATAAAGAAAGCCACGCACAGCCTTACGTAATGAACAAAAGAGATTATGTGACATAAGGAGGATCCATGAAAACTGATAAAGCAATGGAAGAAGACAGGGTTCAATAGTTGAGAAATACCAAAACATAAAATAATACATATATAGAGAAGGGACACAGCCTTTCCCAAGCCAAGTGGTGGATTGGATTACATCGCTCATGAATCCTTATCAGAGCGTAATAGGAATGCATGCATGGGGCGTCTGAAGCAAGCAGCGCCGGAACCACCAAAATGAAAAGCTCTTGCTTTTGCATGCATTACATCTCTACATGTGTTGTGCATGGCATCCTTATCATTACATCCGAAGTTTGCCGTCTCTTTCATTTTCCCTAAAGTTCTCAAACCAACCCTTATCCTCCTCACCACGTCCACTACCTCCATCCTTTATTTTCCCTCCTTTATCTCCTCCTTTAATTTCTTTTCCTTTCTTTTCACTGCTTTAGTTTCATTGATTTCTCTTTATTCCTCCACACTTGCCTTGTATATAAGTCATCACTTTCCAGAAGAAATTAATTTCCCTTTCCATATAAAGACATGCATGAACGCTTTAACATCAATGATTTATTAGTTCAATAAAGCAGTTAAAAGTGACTTATATATATATATATAACTCAAAGGAATACATTCCACACACCCCTCTCTTATTGCATGTTATTTGTTTGAATTGAGTGTTGATAAGTGCATATTTTACTAATAAATAGGTATAAATTTTGGATTATAATCAGTTAAATTTATTAAAATTTTATACCTATTTTACTAATTTTTATACATTTTCCTCCAATCGCTCAATTATAAAATGAGATTTTAACACATAATCACTCATGTTTTATTTTTTTATATTGTGCAGGAAAAAATCAAAAAAATAAATTAAAGGACAAAAGAAAATAAGAAGATGGAGCTCTTATTGTGTGTGTATGTGTGTGAAGAAGAGAATATATATTTATATATATATATATATATATATATGTATATGAAAGAGGAGAGAGAACAATATATCTTGGAAGAGAAAAATATTAGATTTCAAATCAAATAAAATCAAGAGAAAAATAATAATTTGGTTTTTTAGAACAATTGAGAGATTTTATTTGTTGAATATTCTAAATAAGGGCTGCTACGTTATTCAAGAGGGTCCAATTTTATCACATGAGAGCTAAGAGGCAAACTACGGAGTCAAGAGGAGTTCTTCTGATTGAGCCAGGAATTTTTCCTTTTTATTGTCTTCTTATTTTGTCTATATTTTCTATTAGGAGGTTTTGTACTGACTCTATAAATTATTGCTAAATTTCTAATTAGGGTAGGAGTACCCTGACTGAATAAATTTTGATTTTTTATTTGATTATTTTATTTTTTTCGTTGAACTTAACATCTTATCTATGAAATTTTAATGTTTCTATTTATATTTATTTATCTCATTTTAATTATTTTTTTATATAAACAACTGCTATATAAATTGTTTGTCGGTGGTTTGATAAATTAAAAAGTGAAAAACTTACCCCAAACATAGAGAGATAGAGGCAGATAACTAAATTAAAAATAATATAGGAATTTGTGGTGGCTTAGATTGTGATTTTATGATTTAGTTAGAGAGTAAAAATTTTTAAAAGCTAAATTTAACTCTAATTAAATATATCATCATCTACTAAAAGATAATTAAAACACTTTAAAATGATTGTCACTATAAAAGAAAGGATGATAATTAATTGAATTAGAAAAATATGGCCTGATAGATGAATCATAATGCTTGGCGCTCGTTTGATGGGTATCATTTTCATCACTTTTTTTTTTCCTTATTTACATTATTTAAATTAGTTATCGTTTTTAAAACTACCTTTTGCTTTTCTAAAATAATAAAGTTAATTGTTTTTCATTGGATTTGACTCCTAAAACATTTCAAAATTCATTACTACGTGGATCTCGCCCACTTGTGAGACTGATCAAAGTTTTGGATTAATTTCCGTCATGCTGATTATGACTTCTGAATTAATCAAAAGCACCAATGTGCTCGAGATACGCTATCAAATAAACCACGTACATGCCCTCGCATACTCAAAAAGGTTGAGACGTTTTTCAAGCGGAAACTCATAGGAAGCAAAAGCAAATGTGAAATGAAGATAACCTAAATCCCTCCCACTTTGTTTGTCTTACACCTTTTGGATCGGCATGTGCCTGACTCTTATTTTGATGTGCGTGTATTAGGTGTATTTTTCATTTATATATCTCTTTTATAATATTCCAATTAAATTTATTCAATGTATCTGGATTCTTTAACTCTCATTTTTCGCTCATATTTCACCCTAGCAACTGTCACACGTGCATAATGGTTCACGCACTCAAAACTGTAGTCTGTAGCTCTAGGCCTGACAGTACTGTTAATTGAATATCGATAACTTTTCTTAATTTCTTCGTAGGCTCAACCTCAACTACTCATCGGCCAATGTTCGTGTGCGCGTGTGTTGTTAGGTACACACACATATATTTGATTCCTAATACATCATTAACCCCAATTCAATCGTTAACTCCCGATGCGTGAGAAATTAGAAACGCACATGCGAAAATAAGACTCGACGACGACAAAATAGCGTGAAGTGATTCATGTTAATTTAATGTATTGTCAATCATTATTAGTTGCGCTGGAAAAATGATAAGTAAACTTGGAGGACATGAATAAATTGTTCATTTGTGCATTCTCCTTGACCTTGAGAATTTAATTAATCCACTTTTACCATGTACTAGAAAGAACTTTCCTTCGACTTTGACTTTTTCCTATATCTCTTGGACGCTGTCTTTTTTTAACATGTTGCTTTGCAACTTGGTAAATAATCTTACTCACTCTATTCAACATCATAAAATATTTTTAGTTGAATTACACTCAAATGAATTACAGTAGTTAATTATCTTTAAAATTATAATCTTTTATGTTTAGTTGTTTATCCCCATTTAATATAGTATCTCAATTAAACATTTTTATTGATTATACTCCTAATTAAGGCTATTTTTGAAATGAATCTTATTAATTCTACATTGAAAGAATAAAAAAACTTATATTTTTTAACATGATACTCCATCTAGTCCTATTTATAGGACAGAGAAAGAAAATTTCTTTTATCCTATTTATAAGTCATGTTATTAAATTTTCATTATAAATTTTTTCTTTTACCCTTCATTAAATGTTAGAAAGAAAAAATATATTATTAAAGTATGTATATTTAATAAGAACAAAGCTGAGAACTTATTAAATTTTAAAACAGAGTTAACGAGTTTTAAGATTTTTTTTTATACTGATAAAATATGTTGAAAGTGACTTATAAATAAAATTAGAAGAGTACTTTAAATAAAAAAGTCTTATAATATTGAATAGAATTAAGAGTAAATGATTGTAATTTTGGAGTTCTGATCCGCATAATGTTGATGAATCCAATAATTGGGATCCTTAAAACGACTTTAAAGTTAACTTTTGATGAATGGTTTAGAATTGGAGGAGATTGGCATCCTATAGTCCAAGTGTCGGTTGCTTCTGTCATCTTTTCGTGTCACTGCCGTCAGTACATGCATTTTAATTACTTTTAGCATTCATTTATACATGCCCTCTTGTCCATGACATCTTTATATTATATAATCAATCAAACACATATAAACAAGTCTCAAGATAATGATGGTTATACATGGTGCTAAATAAAATGGTGGCCGTTGATAAATGATAATAGTAATTAGCTATAAAATCTAAGGAGGCAGGTCTATATGATTATAAAAATTTACCTTCCTTGGGTTATAAACTTATAATAATTGGAAATATTTTTAAATATTGCTTCAACTTGATTCAAACAATGCACTCCCTTGGTCTGGGTAAAATTATAAATTTAATGTATAAATTTTAATCTTTTACATTCATGTTTGTAAAAATTTTGAGCTACTTACCTTTAATTAAGTTTTAATATGTTAAATCTCTACTATTGAGTTTTAAAATCTTGCACCCTCTCATCTCGTTGTCTTGGCTCCACTGCTATGGTCAAGGGCATTATTATTGATATTTCCATAAATATCTTGAAAAATACTTCATTCATCTCAAATTATAAGATATTTTTTGAAAAGATTTGATATGTTAAAATATAAAATATTTTGATAAAAATAATATTTCATTAATGATACTTTTTAATATTTTCTTTTTTATATATTTTCTCTCCTTGACATTCTTTCACAAATGTAGTATTAAATGGAAAGCATTTTTAAAAGTTTATGTTTTTATTTTAAAAAATAATGATACAAAATATATTTAATGAGCTTTATTAACATATATAATTTTGTCTAAAAATATTTTATAAATTGAGTCTTAAGGGAGTACAATTTAAACCATGAGCCTTGTCTTGGTCCTCGTTATTGTCCTTAAAAACCTAATTAAGAATTGGATCCACTCAAAGTTTTTTGCAGTATATATATATATATATATATATATTCTATCTTTGTATATAATGTGATTTTAAACGAATCTCGTATATCAATAAAAAATTTTATTTAATTAAAATCATATTAAATTGTAATTATTTTTTAAATTTTTTCTCTAATAATCTCAATTAATATTATGATGGGTGGTAGGTAAAGCATATACAGTTAATATCTCTTTACTTTTTAAAAGGCAAAGGAATTATTTAATTATTTAAAAATATTATGCCCCCTTTTATAGTTAAATAAATGTTTACAAAATACCTTGTATTATATAAGGAAGGATGGAGTATATTATTATTTACTAAATGGACTTTGAAAGCTGGGGCGACTGTTTTTGAATTGGCTCCCAAAAACGTGATCTTTACCAAAGCAATCACTTTTTTGGTTGAAATAATTAAATACAAATTCAAACATGCGCTTAACTTAACGCCATTAGTCTTAAACATTGATTTTTTTTTTTTAACAGAGACAGGAGCATGTAGATTAATCAACCAGCGTGCAAATCACCTGAAGAGAGAGAAATAGAAAGAGAAATATGCATGAGATTTTATTGAGGAAGAGGAGAATACATGGTTCAACGGAGAATAAACTACCACGTACTACACGCGCGAGAGGGAGAGCACTGGGCATGCTAACAACATCGTTGCCTGGGAATTACAATCTACGAGTACCGTACAGTACTGTACAGGTAAATTAGGAAAATCTCCGTACAAATTTGCACATCAGGTTACCAAACCTAGTGGAGACTCTTCATGGGTTAATCAGACTTTGCCATTACAACCCCTGTCATTGTGCTTATTAGCTTCAACATCCTCTTCTGTGGCAGCATCATTATTATTATTATCATTTGAAGTCATCTTCACAACGTCAATGACGTGGTGGCTTTGAGTCTGAACCTTCACAGGTTCTTCAAGCTTTACTGGCTTGGAGTTTCTGTACATCTTAAAAAGCACCATTTGCACTATTCCAAACAGGAATCCAAGAGTGTTCGGCAGCTGCATTTGAATCATCCATTTAATTAATAAATCTTAAAAGCTACGTATGAAAAGAATCAGTATAATAATAATGTGGTTGAATATGCTGCATGGGGCCCATACTTTACTCAAATATTGAGACTATTTCGGCCACTAAGAATTAAAGCAAGCAATGCGCTAGCGTCTAATCTTTGTATTAAACTTAGCGAGCAAAATGAAAAGCGAAAAAGGGATTTGTTCCGCTTAAAGAAATAACAAAATTTGAAATGGACACGACTTTGGCAAGATACATGGAAAGGTGTTCATATATAATTAAGTAATGTATAATAGCGCGCGCGCTGTGTGTGTAGTGAGGATTACTCATCGATGAACTTACTGCGATATAATAATCCTTGAGGAAAAGACCGTAGAAGAACCACATCACAGCATTAAGGGTTAAGCACATGGATAAATTGAACGGCATGTACTCCACACTTTTGGTCCTTATAACACGTCTCTGCACGTATCAGAAAAAGTGTATATTCATTTCATTATATCAATCAGGGGATATGGACTTCATTAATCAGCTTTATATATATATATATATATATATACTGTCGAAACCTGACCATGACGAAGAGAGGGGCAGCGAAGACGCTTATATTGAAAACAAGAGAAATCCATCCGATAATATTGACGCGTTTTGATCCCTCTGCGAAGTACAGAGTCGATATTACCATCGATCCATACCCGAACACATTCAGCAACAAAAGTAGCTTGATAGTCGAAAGCTGCTCGTACGTGATCATCAATGAAATTAATTAATTAAGCTCGCAAGATTTGAAATGAATATGTATATATATGTGCACACACGTACCCTGAGCTTCTTGGAAGCATAAAAGAGGAATATGGCAATGTAGATGGATTCAATGACGCATCCAAAGGAGTTAATGGTGATGAGGAGGGGGCCAGAATCCTTCTTGGTGAGTGCATAATAAATCCAGAGCATGCAGCTGAATAGAGCAACCACATAAGGAAGCGACTGAAACCCTTCAGTAGATTTCATCTTGTAGATTTGGTAAAACGTTGGCCTGCAAATTTCACATCAAGTCGTAAGAAATTAAACTTGCCATCATATATTGCTCATGGCCCTGAGTTTATTATACTTGAAATACGTGTGTTAAAAGAACCAGAAGGATGTCTTACACAGGAGCAAGAAACACCAGGAAGGAGATGATGTTGCCTGTAGTTGATAATGAGAAGACAAATGAAGTATCAGTACAATCTTCTGAATTAATGGGGAAGCATATACGTGCAACGACTATATAGTTTAAATAAAGGTCATACAGAACCTACCTACTACAATAATTATTACTGATTTAATAACAGTATGAACAGCAGGCAGGAGAATGGAATATAATATATAATGGTTTAAGCTGTCAATATTACTTGACGTTATTGTATTGGGTGCCTAGGAAGGAAAGAAAGGAAGTAAGACTACGGAAACTAAAGAGAGAGAATATAGTATGTACCGATAAGGCCGAAAACAAGAGCAAATGACTGGTGATGAATGGCCATGTCTTGAATGTTCAACTCAACCCCACAACAAAACTGCGTTGAAGTTCTCTCTCACTCTTTTCTCTGCAGGGATGGAAAATGATGTATTCTCTCCCTTTGGTCTATGATCTCATCTCTCTCTTTCTCAATCCCACGAGTCCACAATGCGAAGGGTTCACGGCCTTTTTATATAGCTGGGAAAAAAGTGTGCAAATTGTGATAGAAAATATATTTTAAATTAAGAGTACAGGAAGGCCGGTGTCTATTTATTTACATAGTTGCTTTGTATCACTTTCCAGTTGTTCCTGCTTAATTGTGACCTCTCTCTTACCTTCTCAACACATTTGTTACCATATTATATTACTTTACATTAATTTCTGAGATGTTTCACCCACTGAGTGGTTTTTTTAGGCCAATTACAATTTACAACTCTTGCCTGCCTCCTTGCTCTTTCTAAAGGCCATCTTCTTCTTCTTGTTTACACCAAATTCACCAAGTCACTAATTTGGTACTATTTACATCATTATGAAAGCCCGCAACGGTGAACTCTGGTTAGCTCGTCCTCCACAGGCAAATGAACTTGGGCTCTTTTAGTATCTAGCTATTCTAGTTATTCCTTTAAAATTAATCTAGACTTAATTAAATACACTTTTAACTCTCTGAGATATGAGCACAAAGAAATCAACTTGTTGCTTTTAGTTCCAACTTCCTAGTTTTTAACATTTGTTTCGTTTAATCTTTGCCCTTCCTTAGCTTTATATACGTGTTCAAGATGTGGTCTAAAAAAAAGCCTGGCTGTGAATAATTTAGTTTGTTATAGATTTTATTGTTTATTGATGATATGAAATAAACAAATTTAATATACAGTTAAATCAACAAATTATTAAATTTTAATAAGTTATTAGATAAAGTAAGTGAAATTCGATTTGAAGTTAAGGGATCAAATTGAGATTTCTGCAGAATAATTATAAAACCGGAAGAGAAATTCAGCTAAAAATAAATAAGTGCGCAACCTTGAATTTGGTGTGCTGGGATGGTTGGCTTGCACTTGTGAATTATTTAATGTTAGATATGGTCCGTATTATTCCTTTTTTTTTCTAAATAAGCATGGGGTTACCATAAATGGATAAATTATAACTAATTAATAATGGAAAGAAAACGAAGGGATTACTGGGAAACACTTATTTACAAAAATACCTACCCAGTGCCCCAAAAATACTCAATTACAATCATATGCTAATTAAATAACTTGTTTTAAAAGAAATAACTATCCGTAATTGGCCCTGGTCCCTGCACTTTCACTTTTAGATCTTGCATATTTCTTTCTTCTTTGTGGACATAGCCAAAAGATTTAGCATCCATTCTCGTATATCACAAAGGTTGATCTAGTTGATAAATATTTAATTTATAACTCACGAGTTTATAGGAGATCAAATTTTATTATTGATGTAAGAACTTTATTGATACACAATTTATAAGTATTTTTGTAAACATTTTTTGAATTTGGAGGTATACTCTATTTTTAATAAGTCTCCAAAACCTGCTGATCTAAACTTTTATTTACCCAAAGGAAAAAACATGGGCCAAAGTCGAATAACCGAAGTGATTCATAATTACCTAGCTATAGGTCCTGGCAAAGGCAATTTTTTCATTGTGAACTGTAATGCACTGCAACAAAGTTCTTTACCCAGTTGATCATGCTTCCTTTATTCTTCTTCTTCTTCGTGTTTTTTTTTTGGGGAATTTTGCATGGAAGCTTCGAGGGGGGATTCACGATTTAAAGCAAGTTTAATTGGAAATAGAGTCTCACAAAATGGGGGAAGCTTTTAATGTGGAAAAATCGCAATGGACCGTTTAAATCTAAGACTAGAACAACGAGTGAATGAACGGTTGGATCCAAAAGCCAACTCAGCATCGCATATCGTGAAGCTGCATGCATGACTCAAATAAGAAACATCTTTGCTTGTCGATCTCCATCTTTATCATCAAATATCAGTATCAATGTTAGTACGTGTAAAATATAAAATATATAACCAAAAGGCAGGAGTTCTTGTATCACTTAAGCAAATTAAATAGTTATAGATTCCAAGTTTAAACTTATGCATGTGTGTGTGTGTAACAATTTAATTAAAAGAATTTACCCATTAGTCTCAGCAATCAGAAAAAATAATTTAACCGCTATGCATAACCCATTCTAAATTTCGTGTAAATACTCTTTCCACACAAAACTTGGTTATTCTGGGCCACTAGTACCGTTCGAATTTAATTGTTGTTTATGGTATTTAGCATCAAGTGACAAACTCGCCTCACTGTCGCCATCACTCCTACAGTCCTACTCACAAATATTAAGTTTGACTTAATTATTCATCAAATAACAGACTGTACAATAAAATCATGACATGAAAATAAAAAATTTTAGATTGATTCTATTAGTTTGAACTATCATATCTAATTAATTATAAAGAGGCCGAAGGAGAAGAGAAGGAAAGGAAGTGTGATTAAAATTGTGTTTTGTGATGGCGTAGGGGGAGTTAACTTCTCAAAATTCTTAATAGAAGAGATATTCATATTTAGATTTGGTGGAAACTAGTAAATTTGTTTGCTATTTCTAAAGGTTTTTTTTTTCTTATAGTTTTTCTTCCTCCACATTTTTCTCCCCATTCAAATTAAGGGTCAGTGTCAGATTGTGTTTCGATCATATGTAATTACATTAATAGAAGGATACCTATGCCAAATAAAAAGTTGTGTTTTGCATTTTGCTTCCCGAAATCAATTATGCATATAAGGTTACCTACAAAGCATGCTGAGCTAGACATATAAGGCGTACAAGACAAGCACAAGAATGTGGAGCATGCGGCGGATGTAGAGATTGTTAGGTACATAATTTCGTCAGAGGTTGGATTCATGCATAGCACTAGAACAATCGGCCATGTTTGTCAATGAGACAGCTTTGTGGCTTCGATTAGACCAAGAAATTGAATTAAAATTAGGTGCCGGGAACAACAAACCCTATATATATTCATGTATTGTCTGCCCTTGATGTTTTCTCTGAGTTTTTGAGTTGAAATCGAAACAGGAGCCTCCCCACCTAGTTACCAGCTGGGGCTTTTAATTCTCCTCTTCTAATCTCCACCGTGATGTCTCGATCTTCATTTTCTTTTTTTAACTTGAATCTTATGGATAAAAAATTAAATAACTAAGCGTATTAAAATCATGCAGCCTAGCATATTGTGTAATCTACTCCCTGCAGAGATCCAGTACTTGTCATATGATATTTTATTTTATTTTTTTAAAAAAAACTCATTATATGGCTGGATATGATCCTGAAATGTCTCCAAAAATATTTATTGTTTATCTATTTTAAAAAAATGATAAGACATTAGAACTTAGAAGCAGCGTCTCGGCCACTTAGCCCGCCATTCACATTATGTTGAGAAAAGATCATCACTCGTTTTTTTTTTTTTTAATTCAATTGCTTGGTCTTCAGTAAAACCTAGTATTGTTACCACACTTGTCCAAACTAATTTATTATCAATTACAATCTCACAAGTACCTTATGCGAAATGCCTTTGGCATATATTAGTTTAACACGATTATGTATTGTAAAATTTAAACTCAAAATTTTAAAGTAAGTTAATTCAACTCATCTAACTAATTAAATCAAACACTTCTCTCGGTGAGATCATCTCTTTTTAGCTTTTAGAATATTTTTAATTGGGTTAAAAAAATAAACCTTCTACGTTATTATTTTAATATCATTTTTTGCCCTTCAATTATGTGGCGGGCTAGGCAAAGCAAGGAGAGTCTATCCTGGTTCCCACTATTGTGGATATGAACCACGCAAGGAAGCACTAAGCATGGCGATGGATATGCATATGTGGTGCCTACATGACATAATAACGTAAAATGCAGCCCAAACATGAACTTGCTTTTGTATTTAAATTGTCCAAAGTAATAGCTAAAGGAAAGGGGCCGAACAAAAGTTGAGGACAACTTCAATTTTACCCTTGATTTGAATTTCGCTCAATGCTCATGACGTACGTCCATTTAATCCTTATACTATATTCAATCACTATACTATATATGATTAATGATTCTCCAATAAAGCATCCGATAATTATGCAATCATGTCCACGATTTTTCATTGGAACACGTCAAATTTATTTTTAAGTTTCGTGACTTTGCTTATTCTTTTATTTTTTTTTAAAAAAAAAGGCCCCAGGCTTTTGTTTTGGACCGCATAAAAATAGCGCAATCCAATCTCTCATTTTTTCTTTGGATCAATTTCTTGAGAGGCCACCTGCTTAAACTTAGTTGGCCCGTGTTAACGCACATTTCTAGATTTAATCTTTTTTGTTGTTCCAGAAATATTGAGATTTACATTTTAATGTGAATGGCACTGGCGAATTAGGTGAATTTAAAATTTCAAACATTAAACCGTACACACATTTGTGTATTGTAGCAGTTTTTGTGGTTTATTTGTTGGTTAGGAGGAGTAAGCATTATATATTATTAATTATTAATTGTATAAAAAACATGTGAAAAATAGTTTATGATTTATCTTAAAGTTGGAGGTTCGTTTTAACTTTTTACATGGAAGATGCTACTAGACCGGGAGGCCTAGGTGAAAAGAGTGTGCATGTGTGTGTCGCGTGTGTGAGTGCGCATGCCCGTGACATGCATCAGTTTGTGTGCATATTGCTTCGACTTCTCCGGGATGCGTGTGGAGGGCGAGAGTATAGTCCACGTGAATTTTTTAATATTTTCCAGAATTGAAAATATTTCTATTGTAGTATTTTTTTAATTCAATAATAATATTTTTCTCAATTATAAACTTATTTTCACTACCTGCAAGCGAAAGGGCCTATAAATAAAGTTAAACGAAATTTTGATATATTAATAATTAATAATAATAATAATAATTGTATTTTTGGTCCACTATATATCTGCTAAAACCTTAAATGACAAATAAAACGAAACGTAGCGCGCGCGCGCGGGCGCAACGCATTGTCGCATATTCGCGCTGATTTGACTTATTTTCAGTTTACAGGTCACTTATTACATAAGAGCAGAGCCGGGCAGCCCGTTTAATTTATAAAATTTGATGAATAAATTGAATAAATTGATTCATTTTTTAAAATAGATTGGGCTAGCA